GCTGTCCCTCAGCTCTTCAGCTCAAGGCTAGCGCTCTACCACTTGAGCCACAGCACCACTTCTGGCTTTTTTTCTTTTTGCTTATGTGGTGCTGGGGAATCAAACCCAGGGGCTCATGCATGCAAGGCAAGTGCTCTACCACTGAGCCACCTTCCCAGCCCCTAAATAAGGTTTTATATTAGAAAAGGATGAGAATAAAAACTAATTCACCAAGGAATGACAATTTCACAAATCTGAAATTAAAACATTTTCAGACAAAAATAGCTTCTTAGTTCATTACAATCAAAGTTGTCCTTAGCTTTGCTTCAGATACTGCCAATATCAAAGCCAGGAGATAAGGTTTCTTAAGATGAATGTTATGTGAATTCTTCTAAATAACTAACACTAGAAACTTTAGAAAAAGACTTTCTCTCTACAACTTTGTGGAACATTATGCTAAAACAAGGGTAGGGATGGGATAGGGAAAATGGAAGAGAACAATGGAGGGGGTAACAGTAATCAAGAAGCACTATACTCATAAACTTACTTATAAAATTGTAACCTCTTCATACATTTACTTAATAATAAAGAAAAAAGTCTTAAAAAACAAATGTTCAGGGGGGGGGGCAGTGTGGGAGATGGGAAGGGATGGGAAGGGGAAACAAAGGAGGAGGCAACAATGCTTGATAAGAAATGTACTCATAGCCAGGCGCTGGTGGCTCACGCCTGTAATCCTAGCTACTCAGGAAGCTGAGATCTGAGGATCAGGGTTCAAAGCCAGCCCGGGCAGGAGAGACCGTGAGACTCCTATCTCTAATAAACCACCAGAAAACCGGAAGTGGCGCTGTAGCTCACGTGGTAGAGCACTCGCCTTGAGCTGAAGAGCTGAGGGACAGCGCCCAGGCCCAGAGTTCAAGCCCCATGACCGACCAAAAAAAAGAAATGTACTCATTACCTTGCCCATGTAACCCCTCTGTACGGTATTTTCACAATAAAAATTAAAAAAAAAGTTCTCACTTTTAATATAACTCACTTACTGAAGCACATGCCAAAATCCCAAAAAATCCAACTTTTTGTACTAGATTTTGAACTGCCAGTTTAGCCCGTGAAGCAAAATCCTGTAAAAAGAAAGACATTAAAACATTAATGGGTTATATTAAATTATATTATCATAAAAACTGATAGCATTGATTTTTCTTCTTCTGCCAGTTCTGGAGCTTGAACCCATGGCCTGGGTGCTTTCTCTGAGCTTTTGTGCTCAAGGCTAGTGCTCTATACTTGAGGCACAACTCCACTGCTTTACTTCCAGCTTTTTGGTGGTTAATTGGAGATAAGAGTCTTACAGTGCTTGCTTCAGCAGCACATATACTAAAATTGGAATGATACAGAGAAGATTAGCATGGCCCCTGTACAAGGATGACAAGCAAATTCGTGAAGCCAGACCCAAAGAAACATAGGTCCCACATTTCCCTTATTTGTAATAATTAGTACACATCTAGGATAATCTTAGCTGAAGAGCACAATATCTCAATAGCTATGTACATATGACCATATAAGATGATGCTAAGTAAAATAAACTCTAAGACATGAACACAAGAGGTTTTTCTTGTTTTAATGTATACTATGTGATTTTTTTTTTTTTTTTTTGCCGGTTGTGGGGCCTGGGAGGACTAGTACTCTACCACTTGAGCCACAGAGCCACTTCCGGCTTTTTCTGCTTATGTGGTGCTGAGGAATCAAACCCAAGGCCTCATGCATGCAAGGCAAGCATTCTACCACTGAGACAACCTTCCCAGCCCCTAATTTTCTTTTTCTAGGTTGATCCCAATTCTATCACACAAATTATGTAGTCTCTAACAAATGATAGAAAATTGACTTTTCTACATATGGTATATACAAGAGCAACAGAGAGTTGCATCTGGATAGGTGCTCTGGTGCCTTAATTTCAAGGCTTTAGAATTTTCTATTTATTTAAACATTACTGTTAGTACCAACATTTCACATTAGTACCATTTTTCCATTACACAAACATGTATATCATGGAGCATGATTCAATTGGTACAGTAAACACAAGGCCTCAAGTTCAATGTCTAGTGCTGCCAAAATATAAAAATTCATAAAAGGGAGACATTACCATATATAAAATGTAAAGTGGAAAGAGGTATTGTATTAGCCACATTATATAGTCACATTACACAGATCACCTGTATCTGTTTATGCTATTCTCTTTCCTTTTACAAATAAAGATAGTTAAGACTGGATATGCTCAAAAAAAAATTGTTTTTTGAGATGGGATCTTGCTATGGTTCTCCTTGCCTCAGCCCTCCAAGTAATGGGGATTATAGGCATGTACTAACAACATGTTTTAAAAAAATATCCACTCATGACCTTACCTATGTAACTGTAACCCCTGTGTAATCACTTTTGTAATACAAATAAGTAAAAATCCAAGGTTAGGGTGTGACTCAGGTTATAAGAGTGTCTGTTAAGAAAACAAACAAAAGCCATCTTTACACAGTAGTATGCAACTGTAGTTCCAGCACTCAGGCAGAGCAGGAGGTTTGAGAGTTTGAGGCCAGCCTGAATAGCAAGCAAGATTCTGTCACTAAATCAATCAACCAAACAATCCTGAGAAAGAAGTCAATTCATTACAGGAATACTAAGAAAGGAGAATAAAACAGAGAAGGCAAGAATAAAGGAAACAGACTTGTTCTTTCAGATGCCTGGGTGCCCACCATCATTTAACCTTCAAGGTGCTTCCCCAATCTTTATGTCAATGAAAATAAGTTTAGTAGAAACCTCCTTTAACTAATTAATGTTTAAAGAATTAAAGTACCTTTTTAAGGAGTTTTACTTTTTGCTGGGAATGTGGCTTAATGGTAGAGTGCTTGCCTAGCAGGCATGAAGCCCTGGCTTCAATTCCTCAGTGCCACATAAACAGAAAAAGCCAAGTGATGATGTGGCTCAAGTGGTAGAGGGCCAGCCTTGAGTAAAAGAAGCCCAGGGACAGTGCCCAGGCCCTGAGTTCAAGCCCGAGGACTGGTTAAAAAAAAAAGTTTTACTTTTAGAAATGGTGAAAGTCATCTACCAAAATGGATTTCATAAATATTCTTAACTATGTAATACACACAGTGACCATGCTATTTCACTTCCTATAATTTCTTTCCAAGGCTTTCACAATATTCTCAGAATTGAAATTATACACTGAACAACCATGAACATTAGTTGAAATTAAACTAATACAAATTTAAGTTGTTTTCATTAGAAGAAATGAACAGTTGCTAAATATATTCTGATTCTTGATTTTTTTCCTTGTCATTGTAATAAAAAACAATACTTAGGGAAGCATTAAATTAGCGTTTGTTCCAAATCTATAATAAAGTAGTAAATAATAAAGAAGTAACTCATGCTTATATTCTATAAACAGCTATATTTTATCGTATTTGTTTTATGCTGATTGTAATTTTGAAGCCATATCAATAAAATTTACTGATAGTTTTAAAGGTTTTTTTGTTTTTTTCTTTAATGTTTCAGGGTGGGTAGTGAATGAACCTAAGGGCTTCATGTGCTCTGGTCTACCACAGCAATACCATGAAACATTAGTCTTTTATTGTACAAACTGTTCTACATGTACTAATTTTGTTTTCCTTGGTGTCCTATATCATTCAAAATAAACATATCTTTTTCTGCTCTTGGGGCTTGAACTCAGGGCTTGAGTGGTGTCCCTGAGCAACTTCTGCTCAAGGCTAGCTCCCTACCAAGCCACAGTGCCACTTCCAGCTTTTTCTGAATAGTTTATTGGCAGAAGTGGTGCTGTGGCTCAAGCGGCAGAGTGCTGGCCTTGAGCTGAAGAGCTCAGGGACAGGGCCCAAGCCCAGAGTTCAAGCTCCACAACCGACCAAAAAACAAAAACTTTCCTGCCTGGGCTGGCTCCAAACCATGATCCTCAGATGTCAGCCTCCTCAGTACCCACCAGCTATGCATGAGACACCAGTGTCCAGTTCTAAAAATATTTTATTAAAAAAAACACAAAGCAACAATTTCAGTATGTATTAGTTTTATAATATGCCAGATCTTTTAATGTTAATTTTGGAATAATACTGTCCATGAAAATGTTTATATTATCACTTGCCTTTGAAATATAAAGAGGGAGAATTTTTCTCTATGTACATTATTTGTCAATAAACTTGACTCTAAACATTCACAAGAAATACCTTCCTATTACCCCAATGCATTCTTTTTTACTAAAATTTAAAGAAATCATTTGGAATAAAAATTACTGTTTTTTTCAAAGTATAACTAAGAATGTAAAACAATGATAAACAATATTTTAAAGAAAAAATGGGGAAAGAAGATCATCAAACATATTTGTATGTTATATATTCAATGTTCAAATTAAATACCAAAAGAAAATTAATATTTCATTTTAATCTTTCTGTAGTATTTGTGGGAATTATATACTAAGATCTGACCAGCATTTTTCATTTTTTTCAAAAACTGTACAACAAAAGCAAATTCCTTTTTATAGTTTCATTTCTCTGTATTCACATTTCACAACTTTTGCTTGTTTCACAATTTAAGTTCCTGGGAAGGCAGTTTCATTTTTTAATATTACCCTAAATAATAACATACATTTGTAATCAGGTTATCATTTTTCTACTTTTTCACAAAAATAAATTATAGATAAATAGAATTACATTTCCTACCCTCAACCAGTATAATTTTGTATGCAACCAATCACACTTTCAAAACAATTAGAACACAGGAGGTTCTCCAAGAAACACTAGAAGAAAAACAAGAAGAGGGGCTGGGAAGGTGGCTCAGTGGTAGAGCGCTTGCCTTGCATGCATGAGGCCCTGGGTTCAATTTCTCAGCACCACATAAGCAAAAAGAAAAAAGCTGGAAGTGGCACTGTGGCTCAAGTGGTAGAGCGCTAGCCTTGAGCTGAAGAGCTGAGGGACAGTGCTCAGGACCAGAGTTCAGGCCCCACGACTGGCCTCCCTCACCACCTCCCCCCCCAAAAAAAAAGAAAAACAAGAAGCATTAGTTATTCCTACCACTGACTTGAAATCTTAAAACTTGAACTATTAATATTCCTGTACCATTATTGTGTCATAATATATTCCCTACTAAAGATATTTATAATTAAGGAGAAAAACTATAAGGCTAGTTATAATTGGCCTGTAAAATACTAATCTTTTAATCTAGGAATATCAATCTAAATTTAAATATATGAAATGTTTATCTTCAAATGGTAAAAACAATTCTTTTTCATGATGAGTGATAACATAAAAAGACCTCTTTAAAAACAGCGAAGTAGCTAGTCACTGGTGGCTCATGCCTCTAATCCTATTGTCTCAGGAGGCTGAGATCTGAGGATTGCAATGGAAAGCCAGCTGGGGCAAAAAAGTCCATAAACTACCAAAAAAGCCAGAAGCAGATCTGTGGCTCAAGTGGTAGAGCTCTAGCCGTGAGCAAATGAACCTCAGGGACAGCGACCACGCCTAGAGTTGAAGCCTTAGGACCAGTACCAAGTATAGATCTATTGCAACTGTTTGACTAATTAGAACAATTAGTAGTTAGAATAATTAATAGTTATTCTGCAGTCCTTATCTTCTACTAAACTATGATTTTAGGCCAGAATCCCTGGAGGACACAGAGCAGTATTAAGAAAGTAGGTTTCTGGCTCACGCCTGTAATTCTAGCTACTCAAGAGGCTGAGATCTGAGGATCGCAGTTCAAAGCCAGCCCGGGCAGGAGAGACTGTGAGACTCCTATCTCCAATAAACCACCAGAAAACTGGAAGTGGCGCTGTAGCTCAAGTGGTAGAGTGCTCGCCTTGAGCTGAAGAGACCAGGGATAGCACCCAAGCCCAGAGTTCAAGCCCCATGACCAACAACAACAACAAAAAAAGAAAGTTTCTGTTTAGTATGCTATCCATTTGCAAACCCATGAGCAAAAACACAGAAACATATAGTCTGTCAATCCAAGTTTTGATGAAAGGGGGCTTTCTAAAGGTACCTTACAAATGGTGTTTGAAACACAAACCTGAAAAAAAAAACAAACTTTAATTGGTTAACAAAGGTAGTCTACTGCTCACCCACCACTTATTTGTTCC